CAGCTCCCGGCTCGCCTAGTCCGGCCGCCTGGGGCCTCGCTCCCCGCACGCCCGGCCGCCACCGTTAAGGCAAGGAGGGTGGGGGAGGGCCGGGGCTGTCTGTCGCCCGGGCTGGGCACTCCGGGAGGCCAGCGCTGAGGGAGGGAGCAGCCGGCCCATCCCCCATCGCTGCGGGGTGCCTGGGTGCGCGGGTCGACCCCACGAGGCCTCCCGCTTGACCGAGGGGCCGGGACCCACCGCCCGCCCGCGGTTAGGCAGTCCTCACCCACCTGTCTCTTCTCGTGCCTCTCGCAGACGGCAGGTGCACGGGCCCCTTGGTCCCCTAGGACCTCAGTTCAAGGTCAAAACTTTGCTCAGCCCAGGCCTGGGCAGGGACACCGGCATCTGAGCAGAGGGGTCCTGAAGTGCGCTTTTGGCCTAGCCAGATGACCTGACCAACTGTAAGGGTTACCAACGTTTTCTGAACGCTCACGAGGTTGCCAGGCACAGTACCGAGCACTTTAGGTCTCAGCTCCTTAATCCTCAGACTCTCATAAGGTATATAGTTGAGAGGATGGGGAAATTGAGGCCAGAGAGATGAAGTCTTTTGTCCAGAATCACAGAGTGAGGGAGGCAGGGTTGTGAACCCAGAGGATCTGCCTTTCCGAGACTGCCCACTAAGCCACTCTGATGGGTTACTTAACTCCACTAATGAAAATCTCCAAATTTGACGACAACTGAGTAGTGTGTGTGGGATGAATTGTCTTGTTTTGTTTTCTCCTTAGTAGTTCCCACGCTCTGAAATTTTATTTAATTGTTCAGCCAATAAAAATGTATCCCTCTAACCTGGTCCATTAAAATACAAGCTGATCGAAGGCAAGCAGGTTACATTCAGTTTTTCAGTTAACAGGTAGTAGATGTTGTGTGCAGAAGAAAATGATTGGTGCTGTGGAAATAAGCATGATTAAGGCTGTACGATATTAGAATATTTATGCCTGTACCTGACACATACTAGGAGCTCTATAAATGTTTGTCTATTAAATTATAGATAGCTAAGCATAACATCTGTCAACTCACGAAAGTATCCCAAGGATGTCAAGCTTTTTCTCTTTCCTGGTATACCTCTAAGAAAAGCACAGAAGCACAAGGTTTACAAATGAAAAACATATTTAACACCAATTACTACGGAGGTGTTTAGCCCTTGCCCATGTGCTAAGGTAGGCAGAAAAGATGTAAGTTTGTAAGGACAGTCATCTACAGTTAAGATTGCACACAACGGCCAACTGGTTAATAAAACATTTAAGAACTCTTTCTGTAAATATAATAAAGTGGCATATTGGGAGACTAGGACTGTAAGTAGTAAGACTATTAAGTCTAAGTCACAGTGGTGGACAAAAAGAACATGGACACAGGAGCTCTATCAGCTTCTGGAACATACCAGGTTCTTAATGCACAGTTGTTAACTGCAGGAAAAATCTGTGATGTCATCAGAATGCTTCATGAAGGAGGTGACACACAAAGAATGGAAAGACTATGGATGGTGAGTGAGGAGGAAAGAAGGAAGAAGAGCATGTTAGGCATCTTTGGCACAATACATGCCCTAAAGCCTCGAATTCGGGACATGGTGTTTGGTAGTTAGAAGTCAGGTTGAAGGGATCAGCAGGTGGCATGGTGGTGGAGGCACCGGACATGCATACATGGTTGATCATGGTTTGAGTCCCAGATCTGGTGGCTTGCTTTCTCATTTTTCCACTCTCTCTGTGTGTCTTTCTCTGGTCAAATGAAAATAAATGAATGAATAAAAAGAAATAATTCGTTTTTTTTTTTTGAGAGATTTTCACTGTAGGGCGCGTGCGCTCGCCAGACAGACAGAGAGAGACATAGAGACAGAAAGCGAGAAATCACCCCCCAGGGGGGATGGTCACGCCGCAATCCCTTCTCCTCCATTCTCCTCTCGGGATCTTGGGCACGCACGCACACGCGCCCGGCGTGAGTTTTAAGCCACCGGGTCCGGGACACGAACCGCGGTTGACTACGTGGGAGTCCAGAGACATAGCCATTACGCTAACTGCTGGTTCCCAAAAGAAATAATACTTAAAAAAAAAAAGATCTGGTTGAATATGATGAGTTTCGATTATGGAGACACTTGCTTCACTTGCTTGACTTGATTCAGGAGGCCAGAGGAATAGTTGCTAATAGCAGAGCAATAGAGTTCTGGAAGATTAATCTGGCAGTGAGGGATTAAAGGAGAGATTAGTGCAACCATAATAATTCAAAAAGTGAATAGATAGTACTTCTTCATTTAGTTTAATCACTCTTACTAGTAGTAACATCCTGATAAAACCACTCAAATCTTTTCTCTTCTACTATCTATTAGATACATTGGTATAATTGTGGTAGATTTTTCAAAGGATGTAGTAAAGTACAGATCATAGCTGAGACTACTGCGTGGCCATATGTTAGCTAAATCAAAAGGAAAGCAGTTTGCATCTCTCTCAGCTGGAGAGTTCTGTATCTGAATTAGTATTTTCCCGGAAGACCACCTAGTAGCACCCAGTCTGTTCCCAGATTACCTGCCAGTTTCCAGGTGATTTTGGACTCTGCTTTCATTGCAGCCTTCCCTGTCTTCCAGGCATAGATCTAGCCTGCCCAGCTCTTCACACAATCATTGTTGTAATTTAAACTTTCTTTTCTCTGCCCAAGTCACCTGAACAAAAGAATTCTGACAGTTTAAATTTCATTTTCGTTGCCCAAGTCACTGCATAGCTGAGAGTTATTTTTAGGATGAATCATTTTTAAAAATGGAATGGGGCCAGCAGGTGGTATGGTGGTTAAGCTGCTGAACTCTCACATGGCAGACTGTGGTTTGAGTCCTGAACCTGGTGGCTTGCTTTCTTACTTTCCCTCTCTTGCTCTCTCTCTCTGGTGAGCACACATGTCCTATAGCAAATTTAATAATAATAAGTAAGATGAAATAAATGATTATTTTTTTAAATGAAATGAGTTTTAGCTCAACATTTATGTACATGACAGATTAGGGTTCCATCTTTCTTTTTACCTGTAGTTTGGGATCACTCCCATCTTATGAAATGATAGTTTAGGAAGGCAGAGGCTATGTTTAGAGGATGCCATTCACTGAATGTTTTGTGGATCCCCAAAGTTTATATACTGAAGCTCTACTTCACAGTGTGGCTGTATTTGGAGGAGGCGACTTCTAAGGAAGTATTTAAGGTCAAATGTGATAAGAGTGGGGGGCCCTGATCTGGTAGAATCCATGTCCTTATTAGAAGAGACAGCTCGTTCTCTATGACCAGGCAATCCAGGGAAGGCCATGTGAGGACATAGAGAGAAGGCAGCCATCTGTAAGCCAGGAAGAGTTCTCATCAGAAACTGAATTGGCTAGTGCTTTGATCTGGGACGTCAGGCCCTCAGAACTGTGAGAAAATACATCTGTTGTTTAAGCCACCAAGCCTATGGTATTTTATCATGGCAGCTCAAGCTGACTAATACAGAGATACAACTAAGGAAGATAGAGGAATTTACAAATAACCACTTTGATGTACAGAAAGTATTGGTAGGAAAATATAATATGGGTCTCAAACTGCTCTATTTGTAGTGAAACGTAATGATGAAATTTAGTGAAAACAAATAGAATTTTACGGTATGAAAATTTCATTGTTTATTATACAACTGTTGGATTTCTTTTTTTAGGGAAGGAAAATTTATT